CGCACTACATAACTCACTTTACCTTCAAAGGTTATTTATTGTGTATGTCGATAAAAGTCAGAACAATCATTAAAAGCAAATTGTATAAATTTATCTATTCAAAATAGAAATTATCGAAATTATACATTTTTGAAGAGCCCGTTTCCTATACTACAGAAAAAAGACAATTAATTTATAAGATGTTATATTAGCGCGATATATTAGAAAATATAGCAATATTTCATAAATCATATAATGTCATAAATGCAGTAAATAATATACAACTAAAACGAGGCGATATCATTAATATAAAAAGAAACATAAAAGAAATCTATTAATTGTAATGCACACACACAAGCTTTGCAAAGTTAACTAAAATATTTCACCGCGCTAAGTAGTTAGAACCAATCATTGTCAGACATCGTGATAAAAACGTCCGCTGACGTCTGAATCTAAAGATATTTAACTACTGATAGACGATGTCTGTGTCTTCGATTATTTGTTAGCTTATACCACAGTAACTATGTGAAAGAAAAACTGTATTAAGATGCAAGAATACGTTAAAACATTAACGTTATGAACTATTTTATATGCGCGTTCCAAATATCGAATATCTATTCTATTATAATCTATAGAAGATCTATAGAGATTAATTAATTCTACAACTATATATCTCGCTATCATATTACCAGAATCATATATAATTCATGTTTCGATAAGGTTTTCGCCTCGAAGATTTTGTATTTTGTATCCACGATCGAACAAGCATAACTAATTTCTTTCGTGAGAATATTTTATAAATAATTACGAATCCGTTATTCTATGTATATTGACCTAAAACCCAAACTTGGTCAACACAAACTAAAAGTAACATAACATTATTGTTATAATTCCACAATGTAACTGTTATGTAACACCATGTGTTATATTATGGGCTTTCTACAATAGCTATTACCTAAGCTTTGAGTCATAAGCCGTAAGAAATTGATCAATCACAGTCGAATGTGAAGAAGAATAATCGACTATGATTGATCAATTTCTTACGAAAACTTAATGGTTGTTCTACAATGTGCTCTTTGTTTCCTGTTTCTTGCTTTTTACTTTTTGGTTTTTTCCTCTTTCTGATCGTTTTATCGACAATTATAGTTCTTAATATGTGTTTTCTGTTTCTTCTGAAGTTCGTTAACGTTCATCTCGAGCAACGGAAAACGAAAAACGAAATAAGAGGCAAAAAGGCAAGATACAATAGCAAACAGCAAGAAACAGGAAACAAAAAGCACATTGTAGAATAGGCTTAAAACGTAAGTAATAATTTATTGCAGAAAGCTTGTTACATTTATATTGTTGAGTACAAAATTATAAAATTGATGTTATGTTATTTTTAATTTATGTCGATTGGAGTGGGGATTAACAAAAGTTTCACGAGGTCCAGTGTGATCAGCTTTGGTTCGCTTTTATCCTTATTTTTTTTTCTTTCGCGCCAAGCAACTGATCGATCAACCGGCGATAGCAGAGGTAGTTGGAACTTAAAGCCGAAGCACACATCTTTCCATAATACATAAAACGTAATAAAATCAACCAATCAGAGTTGACCAAACCACAAAATAAAATCTTTTATTTCGCGGAAAGGAAGGAAATGAAGGACTTTGATCGGTTCATTTTCTTATAGTTTGCATTATGCAAAACTCTGTGTTTTTTCGCCCTTAGCTTCATAATGGCGCACGGAGGAAAGCTAGAAACACATAAAAAAAGGCAATAAGACTTAAACAGTAAGCAAATCGGCCAATCACATAAAAGAACATAAAGTTTATTCCCTACTGTGATTGACCGATTCGCTTACTGCTTACGTCTTTTTTTTTATGTGTCTCTGGCTGAAGTCATAAGCCGCCGATTTACCATTGTCACGGCCGTTTATCTCCCTGCGAAAGCGTTACGATCGGCTGCTGTCGCCTGTCGCAATTCGAGCGCGGCAATGCAAACCGATGACCGATCGGCCGGCTGACCGCCTCGCCGTCTCGCTTCACCTCGCCACGTCTTGCCATGCCGCACCTGTACCCGCTCTCGGCGTAAGTAGTTATATTTGTAATCCTCGTATACTCTCTTCTTTCCCTGCGGTCTCACCGTGCAGGCCAAGTATGTACGCGGAAAAGAAACGGTTTGCACTCTCGGCTAACTGCCAGACTATATTTACTGCAATCTACGTGCCGATTACACCTGTAAAAAGTCCTGTAGGAAACGGAGAGCGCAGATTCCCGCGGTATCGATTAATTACCGTGGGGGTGGAAACCACCCGCGAAAGCCCACCCGAACGTGCCGAAGTATGCGTCTTTCGAACAAAGTGAATTTTCTAAATCAAGTTAAAACGGGGCAGGGTTTTTGCTTGCGATAATGCAGGTTATATCGATTTATTTATATACTTATCGACTAAAAGATAATAACGGTAATTATAGCTGTGATGGAAGCGAGAAAATAATGTAGTTTTCTGAATAAAATTTTTTGAATAGATATGCCTGATTTAGAAATGGAAAGCGTGGAAATGATGGCAATGATGATGATGAGTTCCACGACAATACAAATGTTACTAACAAACTTTTAATTTTCTTTTTTAATTTATATCCGATATTTCTTCATGGAGTTTCATTTTTATAGAGCACTCTTAATTCATAAATGTATTTATGAAATTATTACCATTAAAATAAACATAATTTCAAAAAACTAAAAGGTTGAAACTAATGTCATCTAAAAATTTGAAATATTCTTTAATGTTAACAATATTATTAATGTTAACAATATTATTTATTACGAGTTCCACGACAATATAAATATATCCAGTAAACCTTTAACTTTTGTTAAACATCTCGATATTTCTTCATCCACGAAGTTTGATTTTTATAAGGCATTTTTAGTTCAAGAAATCTCGCAAATGTACTGAAATGATGATATTAAAGCGAACACAATTTCAAAAAACTATTAGCTTAAAACTAATAAGTTATCTAGAAAATTTAAAAAAAGTGATATTCTTTAACGTTAATAATGTTAATAATGTTATTACTTATTCATAATGATATCGAGTGGATGTCAAATGCAGATGTTGAAAACTTAAAGGATCGCGACAGCTTTCTTGACGTCATAATTTAACGGCGTCGATCAATGCGCCAGGTAAATTGTAATTTAATTGGCCGACAGGGAATAATCGTGTCAAAGTGGACCACCGCGATTGTCTGAGCGAAATAATAACAACGTTATTCTCGTCCGCTGTCTACGTCACGGCCGTGACGTAAGCAGATATCGGGCACAAACGATGACGAACGTTTGGAAATATATCGGACGAGGGTGAGGTGGCGATAACCCAAATCGCCCCGTAATAGCGTTCAATTATTTAGCCGCCGCTCGATGTACTGCAAATGGCACAGAGAAGAACTAGTTACAATTATCGAAGAACAAATATTGTAGGACGAAGAATTAATCATCCTTTTTAAATGGATTAATATTCATAACGAAGACTGATGCTTGAATATTTCGTTTCAATATTAGAAACTGAAATAGATGAATAAGTTGTTTATGATATGTCATCACCCCGAAACACAATTATTATTAAAATAAAACTGAAGCGATCAGTGTCTGTAAAAAGGGATATTGCATAGAAAGCTAATGAAAATTATGCATAATAATCTTTCTGTCACGTTAGCAAGCCAAAAATGCAACAGACATTATGATTATATTTATTTCGATAAATTTTCTGCAACCGAAACTAGAGTATGATTTTGTATGACCCAAATATCGAGCAGTAAGTAAATGTTAAACCGAATATAAATAAATATTTTAACAATGCAAAATCATACTCCATAAAAAATTTTAATATTTCGCATGTATTTAATTGAAAGCAAACTAAAATTGGAAAAATTAATTGGACGATTTTTAAATTGCAATCTGATTTTTGTGTGATAATAAAAAATTTGATATCTTAAACATTAATCGCATAACATTATTCCAGTTCCAAATGTTGACTGTTATATATAACTGTTATAATAATAAAAGAGAAAGTCCAAATATTTTAATATCTGATTATACGTATTGACAAACGGATCTGTCAACAATTTGATTATTCCCGAGCAGTGATTACAATTTTAAGAAAAAATTGATTTTTATAAAAGTCAAATAAAAATGACATCTACTGTGCTTAACGTTTTGTATATTCGCATTGAGGTATCAAATTTCCTTTCATATGTAATGCGATCGTCTTTTCTAATTTATATTTACAATTTAATAACATTTTATAATTTTATAGTACATGTATTTTATATGGACGATCTATAATATTTTGAAAAATTCCATTCATAATTTACTGTCATTCGATTGTCAGCTATCAATCGAATTAGTTGCAGAATTCTCAATATTTCAGACAGGATTTATAGCATAATGAAAACATCTAGGATGAAAGAAAGTTATGGAATCATTTTCATACTCTCTAAATTCTTTAGAGTGAAATCTCATTCTAAATAAGGATGTGTGATCTCCGAATCGATTCGCTAAAAATCAATTTTTTCCAAAAAGATCGCTTTAAACGAGTCCTCTTTGTTTAAAAAAAGCGATTTTTACAAAGAGATCTGTTTAAAATAGCCCTTTTTAATTAGATAAATCAATTTGTCACAAAATAAATCGGTTTGAATTTACTATTGTTGTTGAGGAAGATCGATCTTTTATGTGTGGAGATCGGAACATCCCTAATTTAAAGAGTAAAAATTGAGCCAATCTTGAAAAAAAGTAGCTCAATTTTCAATTTTTAAGAGTGAGTTCACTCTTTCGATTAAAATTTTCATTCCAAAAAGTTTTAGAGAGTATACTATTATCAATAAAAAAAAATGTAACCTTATAGACGGCGGTCAAAAATTTCGATTAAACGAATAAAACGCTCGAGTACTACGATCTAGCACCCTCAGCGCGGAACCATCACCGCCATCACCACCACCACCACCACCACTACCATCACCATCATCATCATCGTCATCATCGTACATCACCAACACCATAACCATCACCAGCAGCGAGCAGCTTACGGGAATAATCCGCGGTCTTGCCGCCCCGTGTTTCTGACTTACACTTATTCCAATGATCGTGTCGTTGCACCGCGTGATGCTCGAGATTCCGATGATGATCGTGGTTGTTGTTGGTGTCCGCGGCGATGGTGAGCTGGTGGTACGGCGTGGCGGTGGCCAGATGGATCGGCGCCGCCGCCGATCGCTCCTGCTGCTCGACGCCCAGGTGCCGGACGGCGGCGACGTCGATAGTACCGCGATGCTGCTGATGCTGATGATGGTGATGCGCCGCGACGCCGACGGTGGCAGCGGTCGCTTCCGTGCTGCCGGTACTGTCCTCAACGGTGGTGCGCATCGCGCGAACGATCAGCGGCGCTTCGACCTCGCGCTTCGTTCAATCGTACCGACTGCTCGTCAGGCGACCGCTGATCGTGCGTGACATCCCGCGGGTGATTCACGATTCCGCGATGTAGACGGCAAACGCGTACCCGCGTCAAAAAAGTAAATAGTCTAAAATATCGTACGCGTTTGCGATCTATAGATCTATAGATCTCGCGAGGCGTCGCGGATAGATCCGCAGAACTGTATATATCCGCAAAGATAATCACCTGAACTCCTGTGTATTCGAACGCGAGTTCTTCGCTCCGATCGCCGTGGGCATCGGAGATCTAGATCCTGACGAGATGATCTAATGTTCGACACTGAATATCTCGGAAGGTTCGAGAGATCCCTTTAATCCTTACATGCGAATGATGAGATCGTACAAAATGAGATCGGTGTGCGTTACACAGTCCAGATTAGTTGTTAAAAAACGCGTCGCGTTCAAAAAAATGCGAAAAGTTGGCATCGATATATCCCTTTAATAATGAAGCATGCGCGCCGCATCGGATGGAACGGCAAGAGGGAGGGAAAGAAAACGAAGTAGAAACGGCAATGAGAGGTCAGACTTTCAGTGATGCACGGTTGAAAATCCGTTACGCGACTATCACCAGTCAAGGCTCTGTTTCATTTGATTATCGATCAGCAGAATAACGCGAGCCAAATTAGGAAATAGATCAAAAGAAAAGGAGAAAGGGAAAAAGGAGAAGAAAAGCGAAAGAGGAAAAATTGGAATAGATGAGGATTCCCGCCGCCAGCCGGTGGAGAACGCGCTTCGTGATTCCCACACGCAACACACATAGACACACAACACACAGGAGCAGAGCGGCAGCCTCCTCCCGCGCAACAACAAATAAACGAACGTGAGAGACAGCACACGTGATGTGATGTGCGATGGTATCACCGACCTGCGTGCGTCGTCGTAGGGCAAGGCGAGTCCTTCCTGATGATGTTGTCGGAGGTCAGCGCTCCACCGAGGAGCCCGAATACTTCCGCTCTAGGTACTCGCATGCAGGATCCCGATGCCTCGTCACCGCTTATCGTAGCTGCCGCGTCGTCGTTTTGGACGACATCGTTGAGTTTCTTGTTCGAGCTTGATCCTTAGATGCACCTGCCGCTAACTGGTTCTGTTTGGTCGCGAAATGGGCCGCCGTAATCGCGGTTATCATTTAGCACCGGTAGCGAATAGTGGATCGATGAGGGTCGTCACTCCGGAGTACCGAAACGCGACGATCAACACGCGGAGATATAAAGCCACCCTCCTCTTGTAGAGAAAAACGCTCAATCCCGCACGATTACGAATGCGTGAAACGAAACGATAGCGTGTCGATTCTGCGAACGGAACCGAGCGGACGTCGATAGACGGAGAGATAATGAAAGAGAGAGCGATACGCGAGAGACGACAGGTGAAAGATCCTTAGAGAGCTGGACCTTCGACTACTCTGAGAGAGCGGTACACTCGCACGGGTGGCCAGCCGCCGCGTAACTGAGTCCGGATCGCGCGCGTTCCTCCGCTATATTAAAACCGTACCGTGTGTAGCAGCGACGGCGGCGGTGGTGGCGTAGGACGGCGCGGAGAGAAGCGGAGTGGAGAACGGAAGGCGCGGTGACGGGAGGCGAACGGCGCTAACGATGACGTCACCGCGAACGTCATAACTCGGGACGCACACACGGCTGCAACCGGATCGATGGACCCGGCGGCCTGAGTATGAGCGCATCTATTGGCCCACGCGGCTGATGATGCCGTTACGGTGACGTCAACACGCCACCCACCGGCCACCCGGTAGTGTCCGCCACCCTCTTCCGCCACCGCACCCTCCGACACCCGTTTCAACCCCACGCAGACCTCGAGGCAGGGTGGGGCGGTGGCGGCACGCGGACCCGACGATCGTTCAAGATAAGGAGAAAAAAAACCGACGAAGGAGAAACGGAGAAAGAGGGAAACGAGCTTTAAATTCGCTCTCCGTTCAAGATTCTCGTTTCTATTTCTTCCTTGTTTTCTTGTAATATTGCACAGGTAAACGCGGTTTTTATCAATGTAACATATCTAATTACGTTAATGATTACGATGTCGTTCTTTTTATATACTATAACATAAAATTTTATATGTGTATTGCAATTAAAAATGGATTTTTATGAGTTATATAATATAGTTAAGAATATAGTTTTATGCAAAATATTTGCATATTATTATGTTATGCATTATGCGTTATTATGTGTATTAAATTTCATGAAATACTTTTTTAGAAAACTGCAAGAATTTTTATTACAGGTATAATACATATATGCCTATATTATGATAATGATATTATTTTCTTTTGCATAATATATTTTGCGAAGAGAGTGTAATAAGATAAAATATTTTAATTCAAATCTCTCTTCAAGAATATCTTTAACTCTAACTTTGTCTTCGAATTAACAATTCATTAAAAGTTTATTTAAGTACCATTCGCCGTAAGAAATTCCCCACTCACTAATAAAATTGTTAACTGAATATTAAATTTACAGTTAGGCACTAAATAAATACCTTTCCTTAGAGCCATAAAATATACGATCGTAAATAATCGTTCAATTCGTCAATGATGATGATTTCGTAATGCGTTAACGAATGCACTATCGTACTTTTTGCACATTGTCATAAATATACCGAGGCCGATCTGACTGCGAGCCTATGTCGGTTATAGCCGGTTTTGTAATATCGATGAGAAGAGACTGCGAGAGTCGATACTCGTTGCTCGTGCGTGCAACGATGCACCGGAATGCATCGAGGGCGCAGTCCAGACGTACTGTCGTTAGTTATTAACCCATGACCTAGGAACGTGTAATCCAGCCAACCCTCCCGTAATGTAATCAGCCGATAGCTGATAATTATAGCGTAAGGTTGCGACGGTATTTCGCTATTTTGTCCGTAATGATCTAAGAATCAGTTCGCAATTATCATAAGCCTAAAAATAACTAACTTTCCTCATACCGGTTGCGTGATGTTTATTCTCATAACGTAACGGATAACTACCACTATCGAAACTTCTACTTTAACAATATAAGGATCGTAGGCTTTAATTTTATTTTTTTTTCTGTAAGACTTAATTTTTTTCCGTAATTCTTAAAACTTAAGGTGTCTATGTAGAAATTTGAAAACTCACACAAGAAGAAAATTAAATTATAGAATGACCTAATTTAATTAGATTGTTCTTTATTTTTACGACTTTTTGATTCTCGCAAAAATTATCATCTGATTAAGAATATCAATAATCGAATATATTCCTATGGACATCGCAATAGAAATTGTGTCTTAAGTTACAACAGTTGAATCATTAATAGCTGTCCTATTTTCATAAATTCGCGTCCCGTCAATATCGATACAGCGAACTCAATTAAAAGTTTCTAAAGCATCGCGAAATGAGGCTATCGCAATGGGAACGCTTCTCGTGTTGCGGTGTCTGGTTTCACTCATCCCACTCGTTCCAGACAGACTTTCGCGGATCCTCTCGCGCAGACTCGGCCACTCGGAACAAGCGGTTTAATACGTCATCAATTTATCCGTGACGTCATAGGAGAATGAAACAATGACGTCACCGTTTACCGTTCTCCGCGCGCGTACCTCTATGACGACACCTCTACGCCACTCTTATCGGACGCTTCTGCGCGTAGGTCAGTTATGGTAAGGGGATGCGGTGAGGTATGTTATCAAGTGAGAGAGGGAGACAGAG